CCTTCGATGCCTCTGGGATGTAAAGCACAGATCTTTATTCAGTTGCTCACATTTGCCCTGTCTCCTTCAGAACGGCGTATCTGTAGGAACAACTCATCTCTTTGTGGCGAATGTTGTCTTTAATGTTACTGAGTGTTTGGAGAAATTGGGAAGTTTACTGTGAGTGAAAGCCTACCTAGGAACGTCAGGTATTACCCTGAAGTATTGCATTTTAACCTGGGCTGCACTGCAGACACTTCCTGTATGGTGTGTTCTGCCAAAATTTGTTTGTGCTCTGTGAAAAGGTTGCTGTAAGTATTCCTCTCTGTAGTTTAAAAGCTATTACAGGGCATAGAGAAAAGCTCACCTCCCAAGGAGGTGAAGATAAATTATGAAGTGTTTGAGATGTTCTCAGAGGCTACGTTCAGACACCTGCAGAAAATGTGTATGAAGTAATTAAAAATATTTTATTCCCTATGTGGTACATAATGAATGAATGAGGAAGGATAGAAGACAGGAGAGTAACTCCATCATCACCAAATGAAAGTAATTTTTACTGAAAATGCAGTGAAGATTTGTGACCTAGACCAAATTCTCATTAGGTGCCTTGTTTTATAAACCTTAAAGTTTTATTTAGCTGTAGATGTAGCTACAGTATTAGTAACTGTCAGCTGAGTTATTGTTGAAAAGAGAACTGTCTGTATACTGCTATTAGGCCCAGGGATCTCCGAGCCAGAAAGAAGCATGGCAAAAAGAGGATTATAAAAAAGACAATTAAAGGATTTAGCTGCCATTGAGGAGAGAAACTAGAAAATATTTTTCAAATAGAAAGTATATGTTGTAATGTGTGTGCAGATTTCTGTTTGCTGTGGAAGGGACTAAGACTGCCAGAAGTGGTTTTGCTTTTAAGGAAATCATGCTGTTTCCGTTGAATTTTAAAAGTAGTTAAAAAATGTTTACAGGAGTATTTCCCAGGCATGGCTCATGCAAATATGACATTTGCCACAGGGGATGTTCATTGTGATCCTGTGGTTAAATTTCCTGCATCTTGCACAGGAAAAGTACTTCTGATTCAAGGATATTTTAACCCACAAAAAGTTGAAGGAGAAAAACGAGGTAGAATCAAGAAGATGGCAGTTGTGTATCTGATACGGAAGACCGGTAAAAGGGTTAATGGTAAAAATATATACAATAAGCAAATTAGAAAATGAGTGTGAATCATCTGTCTTCTCTGTCATTGTAATGAATGAACGTGTATAGAACTGAGAAAGATTAGGAAGTGTGCACCACAGTTTATTAAAAAGAATGACCTCTTTGTATACCACAGATTGGAGTTAAACTGTGGTACTTGTGCCAGCATAAATCATTATAGCTATTAGCATAGCAGGAAAATTGACAAAAGATGGAATGTCTTAAATGAATATAAAAGAAAAAAAAAATCCCAACTTCTTGTAAATTGATTATAGTAGCAGAGAATGTCACGTCAGTAGTATTTATTCTTTTGATTTTAGACTTGGCAAAGTTTTGAACCGCTCATCCAGTCAAATTCAAAGATGAATTTGCCGTATCTTTGCGTTACTTTTTTGGATATCTTCTCTGGGGGCATTTTGTAGTGACCACAGCTGGATTAGATTAATCTTCAGAAGGGCGATTCCTATACCTTGTAATTAACCATGTGAGACCTCTGCCTAGAGGTTAGGTGAGAATAACCTTTACTTCTATGGTAATGATTTCTAGTCTTAGCAGGGATAAGTAGAATTGCACATCATTGAATTAATTACACTTCTAGTGAATATTTGTACACTAATTAACTTACGTAGTAACTTGCTGTAAAAGGAAATGAGCTTCAAAGATATACTGGTCATATGCAAATGAGGAGGAAAAGAAAGCTTTTCTGCTCTATTGAGAGACAACTCACAGCATGCAGATTATAGGCATGATGATGGAGTATATAACATTATATTACATTTCTAAACCAGTATGTTGCTGATCTATTTTTGCATGAGAGGTTGCATACACCTTAAGGGAGCAGATGGCGTTAACTGCCTTTCTTTAACGAAAGTGGTCTGGTGATTTCTGCAGATGGGGATGAGGGGAATAATGATGGAGGCTAATAAGCTCCATTATATATGAAAAAGCAAAAAAACATTGAAGTTTTCTTTTTGTGTGGTGTTTCCTTCAAGGGAAAGATTCCTTTAATTTCCCCTGATAAGCATCAGATGGTATTTATCTCTTTTCACTTAGCACCACCAGCAATGTAGTAGATGCTACAGAAGCTGAAAGGAAACAGTCTTACTTTTGAATGTGCAAGAATGTATCCTGATCCCCATTTCAGTCCTCCTATGCAAGTGAAGTTCCAGTGAAATGCTGTTGTTCTCTACCCCTGAGAATTACTGGCAAGCCCCCAAGGCAGTGCATGCTATATATAACACTAAGAAATCACCTATTTTCCTTGGCTGCATTAGCTCGTGGGTCAGCCTTCCTTCTGTGAACACACAGCGGAACAAGTTGATTTGTCAGGATATGGCAAAGCAGGTGATGTCTGCCTTCCTTGTGTTTCATTCCACGAGGTCTGGATTGGTTTGGTGCTCTGATCTTTGGCAGTCATGAGGAAGATGCATCTCAAGGGAGACTCTGAGGTCCCAGGCCGGGTTGGGTCTGAGTGTGCTCCAGCACACAGGGGCTGTAGGGATGGGGGAGGCTGCCATGGTTCCTGGTGACCTTTCTGTCATCAGGATCCCGTATGGAGTGTTCTGTCAGCACCAGTGGGTATGGGATGAGTTAGATCTTTTCTTCTTGTGTGAGAGGAGGTACTTTATTTCCAAAGTAATAGTAGGATTTTTCGCTTTGAAATTCTGGATAAATAATATTGGTGCATCTAGAGCCATATTTATCCTCTGAGTTTGGAGCAGTGCTCTACTGGTGCCATGAGTCCCTTAATGTGCCATTATGGCTGAGCAGATGGCAGAATATTGTCTAAGTGGATCATGTATTATTTGAGACAGTTTCCTTTAAGGGAAATGAGAGATGTAGGAGAACCCAGTTCAGGTGAAGCTAAGGGCTAGCTAGACAGCATAACTGCTTCTGCTCAGATTTTCAAGTAAAGTGAAGAGAAACGAGGTATCAGAAAGTCTGCGTAAATACAGATGCATTTATATATATTTGGACACAAAATTGATTTATCTGAAAAATACCTTCACATATGTGTATATGTAAGTTCTATAAATACTTACAGATGTGAAAAACATCTGGAAGATCCTCTATTCCAGAGGCTCGGTGGATTGATTCTGTTTATGTTCTTGAGTTGATCTGCTCAATTCTCCAGTTTTTAACAGCTGGTCAGTTTTCAAGCCTTTTTCTCCTGGAAGCTGCCAGATCCCCGGGTGACAAAACTCAAATGGATGAATGGGCTCTGTGACTGCTATGCTTACTTTCCACTTTCAGTACCTTTACCATTTTCTTCAGACAAATGAAGTAAGAATTCTGCTGAAAATTACTTGGCACATTAGATGTTGTGGTTCAACTTCTCAAGTCAATAAAGCATGCTAATCAGGGTGAAATAATCAGAGCTTGTAACGACTGTTAAATTCTACAGAATATCATTGAATTGTTTCACCACGTATGTAAAATAGCTTAATTAAGCTTGTATATTCATAACTGGTGTGTATTTATGGACATTTGTGGCAGCAGCAGACGAGAAAACTTTAAAAGCTTCACTTTCATGATGTGTGTCTGATGTCAGCATGCACTTCACACGTGCAGGTCAGAAAGTGCAGAGCTCGTTCACAGTTCACCAGTTTGCAACCTTATTCTATATGTTTTGTTTGGGTGTCTTTTTTTTTTTTTTTTTTTTTTCCAGTGTATGAATTTCCAAAATAAAGCAGTATTCTGGTAAACATATTGGAGAAAATATAAACTGCTTTTGGACAAAATGCAACTACCATTATAGAGATACAGGCAACAGATTTAGTTTCACTGTGAATTACATTATTGGCAGCTATGCTGCCAGTGACCCGAGTCTGCCTTAATTCTTCATTTTTAGCCTGTTGTAATGAAGCCGAAATCATTTCGTTTTTCAAAAGCCTAAAAAGCCGTAGGGATGGTGAATAATTCCACATTCAGTTCTTAATAGTTCTGTTCATTCCTGTAGGAAACAAATAAGGAGAAATCAACTATAGTAAGCCTATACTTTCTGGGGAGGGGGGACAATGACTCTGTGTGCCTTAAAAATGTGACTGACTTTGCCTGCTGCATTGTTATTAACTGCTAAATCTCACCTTTTTATACCGATCTGGAAAGTTTTGCCTTTACACCTGGTGACCTCTTGATTTTGGTGTCCTTGCTCTTGCTGTCTTATTGAGTTTGGTGAATAGAAATAGAAAACAGTGATTTTTGAGATGCACGTATTTTGATTTCTACAGCAGATATTAACCCACCAGTCTTACCTGATATTAAAGTGCAAAACTGATCACAGGGTTTCCTGTTTAATCACTGATAGATTTGGATTTTTTCAAGTGATTCTCTGCTCTGTAAGCTGTTTTCCCAGCTGAGTATTTATTTTCTATGAAATTTAAAAAAATAAGAATGAAATAAAAATAAAAGAAAATCCTCTCTTTATGAATGCTCTTGTGTAGGAAAAACAGCTTCTTTCCAAGTGATCAAATGTTCAGCTTCAAAGCTAAGGCTCTGGTTCTACGAATGCAAGGTTAGATACGTAACCTGAAGCAAGTCTCCTCATTAGCACTTGTCAGGAGTTTTACATTATTCACATACATAAGTGATAAATTATTTGGAGCCAAAATAGTAGTCACAAGTAACCTAAAATCTACCCATGTCTTGTGTATTTCATCCATTTCAGTTATATTCAATACGTCTTATGTAAGTTGGTGGATTCGTCTGGGTAACAATTAATTGCAAAGCCTTAGCACAAAGCAGTTAAGAAAAATGCACGTTTTCTGTTATTTTGAAACTTAGATCCCCTAGATTTTCAATTATTTACTTTTCTTTAACTGCCTTTCTAGGAACAAACTTCACCCTCGCAGAACTGGGAATCTGTGAGCCCTCTCCCCATCGAAGCGGCTACTGCTCGGACATAGGAATACTCCATCAAGGCTATTCCTTGAGCACTGGCTCTGATGCTGACTCAGACACAGAGGGAGGGATGTCTCCAGAGCATGCAATCAGGCTGTGGGGAAGAGGGATCAAATCCAGGCGAAGTTCTGGCCTGTCAAGTCGTGAAAACTCGGCTCTCACGCTCACCGACTCCGACAATGAGAACAAGTCAGATGAGGAAAATGGTAGGGCTTTTTTTCTATATTTTCCAGTTGCACATGTGTAATAACACGAGTGTTCTTCTAAAGATTAGTTTTTCACTTTTCTTTTTCTGTTTGATTAAAGCTGCTTTTGAATACTTTTTTTAACATCGATATCAGGAAGCTATAACATGCTTATTTCATAATATGATATATAGTTTGTCTTATAATTTACTTTCCAGGCAATAATCCTTCACAGAAAATTATATTCAGAATTTATTAACTTAATGATGAGAAATGAGGTTTTTTAAGAAATAGTATGTTGTGTGATTTCTATTCACAGCTTGAAGTAATATTAATAATCTGCAATATGCTGGTAGCTGTAACAGTGGTGCTATTTGCTTTTACATGAGTTTTTCAATTTTGAACTTTTACTTCTGTACTTGGTTATTGGTAGATATAGGGCTGTTGAGAGCAAACCTGTGCATTATCATACTGAGGCAAAGAGTAGGTAATTAATTACGTAGAAATGAGACTTCAGACAATGCACGAATCATTGTTGACAAAGCACCTAACTAGTGTTGATGAAGCTCTATCAAGCCAGCTGTCCTTTCAGATGCATATAGCACAGACTGTTGTTTTTCATATGTCTGCTAAAAATGTATCAGACAAATCATCTGTGCACGCATCTTTTTAAAGACGAAAAATGTTAAGAATGGATTTGCTGCCATTTGTCCTCCATGCCATAGAGTAATGAAAATGCAAACTCAGCTTAGTCAAAGTATTAAATCAAAGCTTTGACATTTGCCATTTTGCAAAGGCGAAGAGGAGTCTCCTTAATGTTGACGTTGGAGCAATTACTCAGGCAGCCAATACCAGGTAATGTAACCAGGTCTCAGCTACACGTATTACTTACCACAAAATTTAATTGATTGCCTGATGTTACTTAACAGATGAGGATTTTTTTCCTGTTTATTGGAGGCTCCTCCCTACATTCAGCGGCAGCTGTCTCAGTTTCAGCAAAGCAGGGGTGTGATAGGTACTGGAAACTTAATCAACTCCTTGTTAAAGCAAACAAGGTAAAACTGAATTACACTTTCTGTATTGATTGAAAAAGTTCTGAAAAGCGCAATTGATTTTTTTTTCTGCAAGAGCGTGCGTTTTTTCCTGATTTAAATTGAATCTTCAAGTAACATCTTTTCTCTATAGGCATAGCAGAATATATTTCTTCATCAAAACCGGAGAGGAAATATGTATATGCTAGCACAAGGAAACCATGATAGTAAAAAAGAGTTGTTGATTGGATAATTGATCAATTAACTTTGTTTTTAAATAGTACTGTTCACACAAAGAAATCAAATTACATTTACTTCAGTATAGTTTTGATAAGCTCAAACAACAGTTGGAATTCATTGCTCTTTGAGGAATTCCCTTCATATAGGTGATTGGCAGCCTTTCTTCATTGCTGAAAGAAGCTCTTTGCCACACCTTTTGTCTCAAGAAATTTGATCTCGAGACCTAAGCGTATAGTGTTGCAGGCACTGATGAAAGAAGAAGCCTGTTTGCTTTATTTTGTTTTTTCATTACAGTAAGTGAATTATAATTACTGAGTAATTGGAAATACAGTGCACTGAATCCATTTTGAACAGATGACTTTTCTAATAATGAAAAGAATAAGCAAAAGGAACAAGTGAAAGAAAGGAGGATGTGATAAAAGAGCACGGAACAAACGAAATAGTGTGTGGAATTCACTTTTACTTGGCAAGGATCTTATGATAAGTGTTTATGTTTGGTTGTTTAAAAAAAGATCACGCAACTGTCTGTATACACAGAGGTGTTGACTTCAGTAAACTTTTTAGTCTTACTCTCTCACAAATTCTGGTTAGCTCAAAAATCAATGCCTTTTCACATCACTGACTTTATGAAGTTTTGGGATGTATTATCATATAGATTGACAGTTACCCCACTGGTTCGGCACCGCAGTGTGGGCACTTACAAAACCATCATTAATTTCTCGCACTTGTGCCCAGCAGTGGTTTCCTACATAATAAAAACTGTGTCCTTCAGAAGCAGATCAATAACTTGCTAGGTATTCATCTTGAAGAGGAAGTAACAAGAATCTGTATTTCAAGAGAAATTCTCTTTCTGATATCGTTTGAGATTTGCAAGGTACTGGCATAAAACAATACATTTCTTGGCACAAGATTTTGTCCATTTATGCCTAGCAGTATTAGGGGAACTCGTGATGCATAGACTTCACTGAAGTTATTTAAAGTGTTGTTGAAGTTTTTTTCCCTTGGTACATTACTATTGTTACAAACCAGTAGTTAAAGTGCAAAAAGGGCAATTTATATTATACTTGGGGGAAAAAACTAACAAAAACAAGAACAAAAAGAAAAAAAAAACCTTTCACTTCTCTTATTTTCTTCATATATTATGTATATACATATATAGAGAGAGAAATGCAGAATATATGTACATATATATGTGTATTTTTTTTTGTACAACTCTAAGTAGCCCAGAGGTGACTCGATTTCTAACACTTGCTCTAAAAATTTGATGTTGTATTGATTCAAATCCACTCACAAAGCTTTTCACTATTTTCTGCACTTCTAGATTTGATCGTAGATTAGAATTTTGTGAACCTTGAAATATCAACATGTTCAAAATGCTTATAGACATAGAAATAATGTGAACTCATTTAAATTCCCTTTTACTTGGTGCGCTACCATTCTTCCTAACAAAACAGAAGATCCAGTGTGAAAAGGAGCACTCATTTTTTGTATAAGTCTGATTAGGCTCTGAATTCTTAACATATTTTGCAACTTTTAATGCTGTCTCTATCTAGTTATCTCTTCTTTAGGCATAGCAACGTAAATATTTGAAAGCAAATCTGTCACCAAATTATTATGCAGCATGATTTGTTGAGCAGTGAGATTTAAGTAAATCAAAGTTTTTGTGATACATCCTAATGTAAACAGTCAGTTAGAAATACAGCTCTCTTCTGATGTCATGTGCCAGCATTGTAGAGAGTTATTTGAGTACACCCACGGATACAGTGTGTAGGGGATGTGCCGGAGGGCTCCTGAATGTTTATTTTATTAGATCCCATAACTGTTTATTCCAAACTGTAATGGAAACTTTTCTATAGCAGCATTTGTCATCTTTTATCGCATGTTCAGTCTTAAACCTATATTATTTCTATTTCCAGAATAATGCTTAGGTTTTGATTATTTTTAGCTAATGACTTAGAAGCATGTGTTCTACCAGGGCTATCACTTCTTTTTTTATTTTTATTTTTTTTCCTCAACTGGAGTTCTTAAATTAAAAATAAAAAAAATAAAATAAAATAAAAAAAAAAAGCCATAGTAAAATCAAGTAACTTGCAATTTAGGAATGCAGAGAAACAGAACATCACAATTAAGGAGGAGATAGGTACAGTATGCACTTGGGACAGATCGGCAGTCTGTGTGGTACCTGTGATAATCTGTGTTAATGTTTATGTTTGAAATCCACTCTAATACTCTGATTTTTGGTAGTTCTTTGCAGGTGAAGTGTGTGTAAAGGAAATAATTCTAAATCTGCAGAAGTAGTTCTGTGTTGATAGCCTAGCTATTACAGGGTGAGGTTCCAAACAGGACTGTATTATCTGAATGAACCTGGAGACTGCTGTTGTTTAATCCAGTAGTGTCACACTCTTACCCTCTCCTCATTTCATCTCCCTTTTCTGGAGACCTTCCCTAGCTATTGGAGGCACTGGTTGGTTGCTGGTCTCCAGCACCAGGTGTAAGGATTCAGGTGCTATGGGAATGTGTAGCAAGATGCTTCTCAGAGAAATGATTATCAGGATCAGTAAGTGCATCATTTTGGTGTTTTTTTATTGCAGTAACTTTCAAACCCTTGGTTTGAATACCAGAAAATGCCACAAGTACATCCCATTTATTAAAAACATACATATAATTAAAATATGTAATGTATTAAGTAGAATGAAGTATGGAGTATTGTAAGATAAAATATGAGAAACTGTGTTGCTTAAATTTCTTATTATATTTTAAAAAGAAAAAAAGGAAATAATGTTTTATCATGTTTTCCTGTTGTTTTTTTTTTCCTACTATGAGTTTTCTGGTGTTGATTTCATTTCGTCATTTCTCCAATGTGTATGCAAAGTAAATCTTAAAAAATCAGAAACAAATCTTAATTCAGACTAACCTCATATTTTCCGGATACTTTACTTTTATGAGGAGAGCAATCAAGGCTTTTCCCAGGTTGTTGTTGAACAACAGACTTAGATTTATGGTAGAAAAGAAAAAGTACTGCCACATCAAAGTAATGTATGGGGGCATCAGACCATCAGATGACAGCTGAAGAGTTTATTTTCTTATTTTCACTGTTTAAATTTTGACATGCCGTTCTCAATATTTCTTTATTTTATTTTTTATTCAGTGTGCTATTTCACACTTCATAATTTGCAGAAAAGCTTGTGGTGAAACTGTGATTCTGCTCTTCAGAAGATTTTGATTTTGTCTTCTGCAAGATAACCTCTGAGTGTGATAAGACTGATCTGAAAGTAGAAGGTTTTAATCTTCCTGACAACAGGATTCTGTTTGTGTTTAATAATTTGGAGTTAATTTTTATTCCTAAATATTTCTATTAAAAAATACTTGCTGTGGGCTGTGGAGAATTTAATTATAAAAAAAAATAATAATAATAACGAGTTGGTGAAACAGTGAAATTTCAGTAGGGTCAGATCTGCAAAGTCTCAGGTCGAGTTAGGAAGAATAAGAACATCTTCATTTTACTCTCCGTGTGCAGGAAGCAGGGAAGCTGTGTGCTTACTGTATGTCGCATGGTAGAGAGTTAGTTTCCCCCCATTGGTGGTCCCTGGGAATGTTGTGCATATTTACCTCCCGCACCAACCCAGTTTGCTTGGGAGCAACAGGAGGGGCAGAGAAGAGAGCTGCAAAAGTGTCCTGATGGTCCCAAGGGTTTTAAATGAAATGTCATAGACTCAGAAAATGGAAATGTGCTTCATACGTCAGTAAGGC